CTGATGCCTCCCAGTGCACCTGCTGCATTTGGCACCCTGTGGACACCGGAACTCGTGGGTGTTCGAGTCCCGTCTATAAAACGGCCTAGGACTTGTATATAACATGCTCACTGTCTTCCCTGTACTGTTACTCATCTCCAGGTTATACAGAATTCCGACACAATGTAAGTGCCATCCAAATGTTGTTATACATAGGTTAGAAAATAACATCAAGAAAAAAATCTGTATATGTTTAGTACAGATGGAGCTTTTGTAAAAAAAAAAAAAATACTGGTTGTTGTTGAATCCACTGATGCAGAGCTGTGGACGTGGAGGGCCAGTGCCGTGTCTGACACTCAGTTCAGGTAACCAGTAAATGCGTGAACCTCACCTGCGACGGAATAACAGGAAGGCAGCAGAAGTCCTCAGGTGCGGCTTTAACACATTCAAGTGTACAACCACTTCTGAAGTCAGATGGAAAATCAGTGACAGAACCTTATGGAACTTTAGAATTGAAAAATGTAACAAATTAAGAATTTGAAGGATGTAGTTCTGGGTAATATGACATAAGAAAAGAGTTCAAATTGCTGAGAAACAAGATGGAAAATACAGAAGCGAGCATAAGAGATGTAGCTGATATAAGAGAGTCTAACACACACACACACACACACACACACACACACACACACAATCCCAGAAAGAGAAAAACGTAAGAGTCAGATAAAGACAGATAGTGTCTGGAAATTTTCAAAATATGGCAGAAGGCATCAAACAACAAATTTCGTAAGCTCTTATGTAGAGCATGACAAATGGATGAAAAATTACACTGTAGCACATACATGCAAAAGCCTGAAATCCAAAGATACAACCTTAAAAGCAACCGTGTAAAGATGCAGTCACTTTCAAGGAAGCAAGGGCGACAGCGGCACTTCCTTCCTCACCAGACGCCCTGGGACCTCAAGGCGGGGGCTGTGCAGAAAGTGGAAGGGCTGCCCTCCAGCGCTGTGGTCAGGGTCATTCCAGACAGAAATGCAGCCTGCAGACTCAGGGTTCGTACTGTGAGAAAGTATCACTTCAGGGGCAGCTTGTGAGTGCAGGATCGGAGCGAGGACACATGCTAAATAATCCTGAGCGAATACTGACTGGGGATACACATGCATGTGTACATTATGAATTGATAACATTCACTTACAGGGCTGTACATCCACAGATTGTATACATGTATATAAAGGGAGAGAAATTGGGAAGGAGGGAAGTGTAATTAATGAATGTACTGAAGTTTCTGCACTTTTTCTGAACAGGCAGAAGTTCTAATTTATATTTGACATTGGTTAAGTTAAGGATTATGTTGTTTCACAAGGTTAACTTCCAAAAAAGTTAGTAAGTATATAACTAAAAGGCTAGTAAACTGGGTGTGGTAGTATATGCCTGTAGTCTCATCTGTTCTGGAGGCTGAGACAGGAGTATCACTTGAGCCCATGAGTTTTAGACCAACCTGGTCAATGAAACAAGAACCTATCTTAAAAAGAGAAAAAGAAAAGTTAATACAAGGGAAAGAATGGAATAATAAAAGCAAAATAAATTTTAGAGAAAGAGGAAGAATAATGTAGGACAAATGAAAAAAGCTTCAATTTAAAGTCATATCTGTAGTTACATTGAAGGTAGTTGGATTAAATTACTAATTGAAATGTAAAGATCACTAGATTGGATTTAACAAAAAACAACGTAAATTCTTTTGCAGAAAGTGTTCTAAAATACAAGGCTCTAGAAAGGTTGAAAGTAAAGGGTACATGGTAATAATATTTGCTTACTCCAGTGAAAATCATGACTATTAATATCAAAGTAGAGTTTAAGAATAAAGCTTTATATAAGTCACTACATTGTAATGATAAAAGGTTCAGTTCCCCACCATGTAATAGCAGTCTAGATTTGTCTGTCATACCATAACCTCAAAATACAAAAAGCAAGGGCTGGGGATTTAGCTCAGTGGTGCTGCTGTCTACCTCGCAAGCACAAGGGTCCCGAGTTCAAGGCCCAGTACCAAAAAAACAAAAACAAAAGCAAAATTTGGGAAAACAAAAAGAAGTAATAATAAAACCACATGTTGGGAGATTTTGGTCTACTTTCAGAATAGACAAACTAAAACCCATCTGGGAGGGTGAGCCAGGAGGATTGCAAGTTTGAGCCTAACCTGGGCAACTTAGGGAGGCCTGACTCAAAATTTTAAGAAAAAGAAAACATATTTAAACAGTCATTTAAAAAAGGGATCCAAGACCTGGCATGTAAAGGTACAAGATCCCAGTAATGAATGTAACTGTACTGTCTACCTAGAATGTACCAATAAATTAAATTAAATTTTAAAAAAAGGGATAAGAAGGTAGCTTAGTGCAAAGGCTCTGAGTTCAGCCCTCAGTATTGTAAAACAAAACACACCCAAAAAAGGTAGGGAACATCTGAACCACTTGATAATGGACGGTGGTTAATTTCTCTACTTCTCCTTTAAAATTGACTATTTTTTTATATATAAAAATATGGTGCCGGGGATTTAGCTCAGCGGTTTAGTGGCCTGCCTTGCAAGCACAGGGACCTGAGTTCAATCCCCGGTACCCCCCCCAAATATGGAACGCTTCACGAATTTGCATGTCATCCTTGCACAGGGGCCATGCTCATCTTCTCTGTATCGTTTCAATTTTAATATATGTGCTGCCAAAGTGAGCACAAGATTAACTGTTTTTGGAGGCAGTGTCTAGTCCCTTGCCACACCTAGCACAGTCTTTTAATCCCAGGACTCAGGGGCTAAGGCAGGAGGATTGCAGTGAGTTCAAGGCCAGCCTGGCTAAATAGTGAGACCCTGTCTCAAAAAACAAAACAAAACAAAAAGCAAAACTTCTAATTTAAAACTTTAAAAATTGTTTTCCCATTAAAACATTCAGAGTTTTTTTATGGAGTGGAAAATCTTGTCTTTACAATTGTAATGGTAGCTAGATTTACAGAGAACTCCGTTAGTATAAGATGACATAAGTGTAAATATGATTTTGACACAGAAATGCGCACTTGAAGTGTTCCTCAGTATTTTAGTCATTTACAAACTAATGACTGAAACCTTGAAACCATCTGAATAAAAATCCTGAGCAAAATCCTATGAAAGCTGTATAGGGGACATTTCCTCCAGATACACTATTGTTTTCAAATGTTGGGCTATTTAGCCTGTGGAACCAGCTTTCTCAGCAGTAGTGGTGCCCATGTGTAACATGAAATTAAAAAAAAAAGGTACTGTGTGTACCTTGCACTTGTGAGGAAGGCACATGATGTTATGGGGCAAATATAAATAATAAAATTGTTGTGGGGCCAGAGGGTTTAGCTCAGTGGTTCCACCACCTGCCTTGCAAGCACAAGGATCTGAGTTCTATCCCCAACCAAAAAATAAATGAAAAATAAAATGGTTGCTAGTGAAACAGATGAACATGTTCACCTCCCACATGTCCCCCTTTCTGTGGAATGAAATGTAAAATTTTATCTATCTCCTCTGTTTGGAAGGGATTTGGCAAGAAAGAAGAAAGGTATAAAGTGAGAGTATAAATCTGGAATGGTGCCTTAAAATTTAACAGGTCCTATGATAACTGTAATCATAATTCACTTAAAGTGATGTTTTTAGATGTTGGCAAATGTTTGAGTGCTTTAATTCAAAAGCACTGGCAATTCTTTAAAGAAATAAATATTGAGTGCCTACTGTTTCCTTCGGTGTAAGGAGAGAGTGATATAATGTGGAGTAAACACAGAGATAGTGTACTTCAGAACTTACATTCTAGTAGTTGTGGGTTGGGGACAGAAACAAAATGCAAGGTTGCACTATATCAGGAACAGCGCAGAGTCCCACGGTGAGAATGGGCCTTCTCTAGGCTGAGGAGGACACCAGCCAATCAGGGGAGGCAGTGTGAGCAGGTGAGGGGGCTACACAGAATCTGAGCTGGGGTCTGCCAGGTGGGAGGGCCTCTGTGAAGAAGCTAGACAGGCAAGGAGGGCTGGACGAGTCTGACTTGGTGGGGCAGGTGAGGGATTTAAGGCTTTCTCTTTGGGCCTCTCATTGCATTATTTGATGCAGGTGAGTAAAACATTCAAATTTGCATTTTGAAAAGTTGCAGTGTGGAGAATAGTTGGGAGGCTCCATCTTATTTAGCAGAGAGTTCAGGTGAGAAGATCAAGATGGGCTAGAGTGAGAGAACCAGAGAAAATGGTCCCCCGAGTATTTAGGAGACAACTTTGTTTTCTTTTTCTTTTCTTTTTTTTTGGTACTGGGGATCGAACTCATGACGTTGCATTTGTGAGGCAGGCATGCTGCCACTTAGCTAAATCCTTGGCCCAGATAACTTTTGACGGGACTGGGTTGTAGGACATTAGATATGAACTAGAAGACGGTATCCAAGTATTTTAAGATCTACTTCAGATTAAATGAATACATATTGAGTGGTATGTTTTGAAAATGCTTAAAAGTGAAGGAGTTACTTGAATAAATATATTTAGTCATCTGTATGAAGAATATTATGTAACCAAAGGTGATGTTTATGAGGAATTAAATTGACATACGTATTTTGGGGGTGCAGTGTTGAAATTTGATACATGTACACAATATAGTGATCAAGTCATGGTACTTAGCATTTTCCATCTCCTCAAGTATCTTTTCTCTATGTTGGAAACCTTTAACTCATCTCCTGCAGTTATTTTGGAATGGTTGTAGACTGTAGGTGCCCTGTTGTGCTATGTAGGAACAACAGCAGAGTTACTCCTCCCTCATCCAGCTGTGTGGACACGCTCTGTCATTCCCTCTCCTCCCCTAGCCTCTAGTGGCCTCTGTTCTACTCAGACACGTTTTTAATGGCATTGAAAAACCTATATTGCATGACCACGCATAATACGAAATTGTTTACTGTGTGGATATGCCCAGCTCACTGTATATATTCTTACCTATAAAATTATAAACTGAAGCATGATGATTATCAGAAATAACTCTTTTTGATATACAGAAACCTCAAGAGGAGCATGCTCCTAATGGTCCAGAACTCCTGAGGAAAAAACGTACGACACTAGCTGAAAGAAATACTTGTCAGCTTTATATTCAGACTGATCACCTCTTCTATAAGTACTATGGGACACGAGAAGCTGTGATTGCCCAGGTATGTGTGGTCATGCACCATTTTAGCTCTTCTGTTGTTGAATTATACTTATATTTTCCTTCAAAAATTAAAGTCAGTGAGTATACATGACTTGGAAAAAAGGAAAATGCATTTTCAGTTGTGATTGATGAAACACATGTAGTAAGTGCAAAGATAACTGAAAAACCAGTGAGGATATTTCATTCAAAGGAGAGGTACAGGGCTGGGGATTTAGCTCAGTGGTGCCACCAGCTGCCTCACAAATGAAAGGTCCTGAGTTCGATCTCCAGCATCCCTCCCCCAAAAGAGGTGTGGGAGAATGATTTTCTGAAGAAAATGCCCTCGCGGAAGCTTACCTTTATGTTTTGCCTTTGGGCCTGATGCTGGGGATTAAATGCTAGCCAAGCATGAATCCCTTTGAAAATAGTTTTCATTTGTGATCCCAAAGAGGAGAAGGACAGGGCAATCCTTCTAAGCAGAAGTATTCTACCTCTGTTCTGTGTTCTCCTTTGCTCAGTGCTTTTTAAGTCTCATAATTGCACTTGTGTCTTCTCAGTCCTTATGAAAGTTTACATTTTTGAGGATACTCCTTCTAAATGTCCTTGAGGATGTCCTGAAAGAGTTTCATGAATCCATTTTTGATTAAAAGGATTTGAACCTAAGAGAATGAGAGTACCACCAGTGTAAATGATGGATTTTGGTGGTGGAAATGAGCTTAGTTTTAGCTGGCTGTAAAAACCACATGCCTACATAGGTGAGTTCAAGGTCTGCCTGAAGTACATGGTGAGACCCTTTTTCAGTGAGAAAAAAGGCCAAGTGATTTGTTCCTTTGGACAACATGGAACTAGAACTCGAGGAAGGTTAGCCTTGAGCTTTCTACTTAGAGTGAGTTGAAGGGAACAAAGGGAATGGTTACAGTGTGGGAGGAGTGAAATTCAAGGAGAAGTCACTGGAGTGTATATAGTGAGTGAGGGAGACATGAGAAAGCAGGTTTCAAGGGAAGATGCATTGTGGAGAAATCGAAGAAATTAGTTTTCAGTTGCTAGAAGATTATTGATGAGCAGAAGCTTAGCAAAAGAAACAGTGAAGGTTTCAAGAGATGTGAGAGACAGATGATATGATGGCTTAGAAATAACATGGAATTTGGGGGGACCTGTGGGGAAATAGGGAATACATGAGCAAGTTTATAGGCAGAGGAAAACAACTCCGTAGAGTAACAATGTAAGATATAAGAGAAAGACATAGATGTTCTTGAATATCCTCAATACTTCTGAGAAAAACAATGTTTTTGAACATCCAGTAAGGATTGGGGTCAGTAATAAAGAAAAGTTAGACTTTAAGGAGGACTTATTTTGAGGAAGATAGAGATGGATAAAGGTAGGGAAATTTCTATCCCCGATATGAAAAAAAGGGAAATTTAAAAGATGGGAAAGGCAAGGTGAATACTCAGTAAGTGTAAGATACACATATTTAGAGAAGTGTCTGAACTGTCCCTCTTGCGAGAGGCGTAGAAACAGTGAATTGGTACGGCATTGTTAGGGCAGCTGAGGTTAGACAGCATGCATTTATAACGGGCCAGTCAGCACTGTTACATCTCTCCTTAGTCTGATATTTTCAGGGAGGGTCATTAAATCAATCATTAAGGATAAATAAAAAGCTTGTACAAAAAGGCACAGGCCGTGACTGTAGGATGGATTGAGAAACAGCTTTTATATGACCAAAGCAAGAGTGGGTTTTTTTTGTTTTTGAAAGAGACACAGAGAAGAGTATGAAAAGACACAGTATATCTCAGCCATAGCTCACTAATCTTTGCTATTTTTCTGTCCAGGATATGATGTAATATTTAAAAATTTGAATATTGTGGGATATAATTCTAGATTTTGGAAGTGGAAGTTCCTAATCTTTTTCATATTTTAAAATTGCCTCTAAATTGTTCTCTCTTTTTCAATTGATTAGATATCCAGTCATGTTAAAGCAATTGATACAATTTACCAGACCACAGACTTCTCCGGGATCCGAAACATCAGTTTCATGGTGAAACGCATAAGAGTAAGGACCTTCAATAGTTAAAGATAATTAAGAAATGAAAAAAGGGCCATGCTTACAAAAGAAAATGACTTGCTTTTTCATCTATGCAATAAATACGTAATTTAAATAGTTACATTGTATCTAGTGACTGTTTACATTTATTCTTGGCTTTTACTCATGTATACACACAGGGGCACTTGGGTTTATAGTTTAAGGATTGAATCTATAAGACCTAAATTTGGACTGAAATAATGATAAAGTAGCACTGTTTTCCATTAGGAAAGCCCTCATTCCTCAGGAATTTATAGAAAACTTGGCATGGCTTTTCCCCTTCTGTTATTCCCCAGTGTGAGATTTGCCTTGTGGCACATTTAAGGTTCCAGGGCAGAGAGAGGATAGATAGATTCAGTGTTTAAAATTGGAAGCTGGAAAAACACGCTATAATCTTTTTTGAAAGTTCGTATCAATCCCCCCCCCCCCGGTCCTGGGGCTTGAACTCAGGTCCTTGCACTTGCGAGTATGTGGTGGAACCACTGAGCAAAATGTCCAGCCCTGCCCTGTATCAAGTTTTAAAAACTCTTTCAGGAAAGAAAACCATTTTTTTCTAAAGTGCTTTGACCACAGAATCTTTTTTCATGTGTTATCACCCAAAACTCCAAAACACCTTTTGAGAAGTGTTGATTCAGAACTATGGGGTCATTAGTTTTACTGTTGTTATAGGTTATAAATAAATACTAAATTACAAAATTGACCTAATTGTAATACTAAATTACAAAATTGAGCTAATTGTTTCAAAATTTTTCAGGTTTTCTGAATGTACATGTACAGCTTTTTGAGACTATAAACTAGATATACAACCTGAGTTAAAAAAAATCTGTTACAGTAGTATTTGCCAGTGTTTATTTATATTTATGTTTTCTTGTTTCTCTTAAAATATGGTAGACTAGATAAATGTATATACTAGAAAATGATAGTATATTTAGTAACACAGCTACAAGTAGCTCTTGCTTTTAAAGGCAGTATAATTAAATCTTAAATTGGATTGTCTTCTGAAATATAGTTTGTAGATTTACAGCATAAGAACTCTGTTTAGTCAGTCAATTGCTCTCATATATTATGAGAAAAGTGTAAATCCTCAAGTGAGCAGGTAAAAGTGCTAAGTAGCAGGTCAAAATTTAAGTATGGCTGTTCAGTAAGCAGAGCAGTAAAATATGAAGTAGAAAGCAGAGAACACCTGAACACATTTTGGTAAAGCACAATTATTATTTTTATTGTGGAGACAAGAGTCTTAGTATATAGTTCAGGCCAGCCTTGAGCGCACTGTGTAACCAGGCTGGTCTCAAACTCAAGGAGATTCACCCTATCTCAGCTTTCCGAGTGCTGGGAGTACAGGTGTGTGCCACCATACCTGGCTGAAGCACATTTAAAAAAAATAAAATGATTTGCATTATGAGAAAAATACACGTATATAAATAGCCTTCATTGAAATTAAAGCTGTACTTTTTACTTTTCTTGGATACACAGTGTCATTGTGTATGTAGTCCAGGCTAGCCTTGAATTCACTGTGTAGCCCAGGATGGACCTGAGCTCCAGGCAGTCCCACCTCAGCCTTCTGAGTGGTTGGGAGTATGCCGCCATGCCTGGCTTAAAACTGTAGTTTAAATCTCATCTGTTGACCAAGACCTGCCATGTAAAGGTACAAGACCCCAGTGATGAATGTAACTGTACTGTATACCTAAAATGTACCAATAAACTCAATGAGAAAAAAAAAAGAATCTCATCTCTTGAAGGTTGTATATGATTCATTAAATTATTTAAAATTTATGTTCTATCAGTAAATATTTATTAATAATATATTTAACATATGTTACTAAAACTTAGATGCTTTTTAAAAAATTTATAGCCAGCATAACAGAAGTATCAGGAAATACCATTTTTGTATTCAGTAGTAGAGACCTATCTGTTTTTAATCATGGGTTATTTATAATATACATGTGATTGTTTTGAATTTTTTTTTATTAAATGACTGACTACAACTGAATGTTTTTAGTTGTTAATGAATAAACCTGATCGAAGCCTGGCCCAGTGGTATGTGCTAATAATCTCAACACTGAGGGAGGCTGAGGCAGAAGGATCACAAATTCAAGGCCCATAAAAGGCAACTTGTGAGCCTCTATCTCAAAATAAAAAATAAATTTAATAAACAGGCTAGGGGTGTAGTTCAGTGGCACAGTGCCGCTGGATTCAATCCTCAGCTCTGCAAAAACCAAAAAAACCCACAAACTAGATGTTCTGAGGTCTATCTTAGGCAGCTGCCCTTCATTTATTTATTTTTCTGGTTCTGTGATCAGCTCATGGTGTGGGTGGTGGGACCATCCCCAGCGCATTGTCAAGGCTGGATTCTCCATCAGCCCTGAACATCCTGTCCAGTCAGTGCAGGAAGAGGCGACTCAGATTTGCTAATGTTACTTACTGTTTAATGTTTTGGATTTTTAGATCAATACAACTGCTGACGAAAAGGATCCCTCAAATCCTTTCCGTTTCCCAAATATTGGCGTGGAGAAGTTTCTGGAGTTGAATTCTGAGCAGAATCACGATGACTACTGTTTGGCCTATGTCTTCACAGACCGAGACTTTGATGATGGGGTTCTCGGTCTGGCTTGGGTTGGAGCACCTTCAGGTAGCTGATCTAACTGTTCTCAACTTCAACAGTTCCTGAGACAGAAGCAGTTTTTAGGGACGACTGAGTTGTACAAAGTATAGGAGAAACCAATGTTGTGCACTAATCCTAACTCACATCACTTGAGTTATGCAAGATTCATAAGCATAATATAGATGGCAAAATACACGAAGCAGCTTTTTATTCTGAAATGAATACAGGGAAAGATCTTCACATTGTGGTATATTCAGTAGCTGAAATAATTTTATGGCTTTTTTCCCCCACAAAAGTTAAATGCCATTAAATACATATTTTATATAACTAATAATACATATCTAATTTTCATAATAGAGGCTAAGCTGTAAGGGGAAAACTGCTTTTGTTTTGTCAAAAGGGGAAAAGGAAAGGGCCGGGGATTTAGCTCAGTGATTCTGTCGCCTGCCTCATAAGCGCAGGGTCCCACGTTCAGTCTCCAGTACCCTGCCCCCCAAAAATGGGGACTTTTTTCTGTTGTGCAGGGAGATAAAGAGCAGAGATGAGGAGCAGCAGGTAGAGGGAAAACCTGCCTTTTGTAGTAGTTTATTTCTAGTCTTTATTTTAACCTAAGGAAAGTGCTAGCCATGGATGGTGACTCATGCCTGTAATCCTAGCACACGGAGGCTGAGGCAGGAGGATTGCCACAAGTACAAGGCCAGCCTAGGATAGATAGTGGTTCCAGGCCAACCTGAACTACTAAGCGAGACCCTGTCTCAAAAATAAAACAAAAAAAAAAGGAATGTGCTCTTTGAAAAGAGATTTTGGCAAGAGCCCCAAGACCCATGGCTCCTCTGGTATTAGCTACTGCCTGGACCCGCATTTTACTGAGATCTCCATGTTAGCCCTGCAAGCTGCTTCCTGAGGTAGGACCATCCTCTTCCCTGAACGTAACAGAGGTGTCGCTTATAGTATGATCAGTTCAGTCACCTGGTTTAGAGAGAAGCAGATTTATTAGTTGAATGATAAGTAGAGCTGTGGAACTATATGAATCTGTTTTCCCTTCTTCTGATGCTT